ATGTATTATTTAGAAAACAAATACATAATTTATCATGAATTGAATGTATTATTAGTGAATGCATATAAAAATGGAATATTATAGTTACGAGCCACACGATAAGTACAAGAAACCGAGTTTCTATAGTCGGCAGCGCTCGTAGTTTTTTTTATTTTTTTTTAGAATTGAAAAAAAAAAAAATTCAAAGTCAAAGAAAAATTATTGTTGGAAAATAAACTTGAAATTTGTTAAAAAGTTAATTGCTTGGGAGTGTGAGGGGGAATGGTGGGCGAAGGTGTGCAGAAGAGTAACACGGCACGGTTGGCAGATATACATATATAGTGGGGAGAGGGGTAGTGTATAGAGAACAGTAGGTGAGGGGGACGGGGTAAGGGGGAAACTTCAGAGGAAGAGACTTCCGATTGAAAAAAAAAATCTGTCGGTTTTAAAATTCTAGCCCCCCAAGTACGCGACATAAAGAACTTCGTTCTAATACATGAATTATAAATTTACAAAAGTACATTATTAATACTCACTGGAAAACAAATTTATTAAAAAAACTATTAAACGTTACAGTGAGATTTATTATTCTTAGTAAGGGGTTGGCATCCAAAGCACATAGGGGGTGGAGCTCTACTAGAACATGTATACGAAAGAAGGATAGCTAGTAAGAGGCAAGTAAGAAAGAAAAAGGTAGCACTGATATTTGTGTTCTATCTCACTTATCTCGTCTTGGAATCTGGCTATACAGTGCCACTTCCGTGTACATGGAAAAAAGAAGAAGCCCATGATACACGATATTTTAAATAAAAAGTAAGGTGTACTTTATTGACAATATAGTGATAAACTTCAATTAGGACAACGGGAAACTTATTCGTATTGCAAATTCTTTATTTTCACAAAAAACTTACTGAATAACTTTTGTAATAAGTTTCATTATTTAAAATAAGAAAAAACCTACAAAATTTATACAAAAAAAAAAAAAAATAAAACTTAATAACTAAGTGTAAAAAAAATACTATCTTGCATACATTATTACGCAGTTTTCGATGACATGAGAAAAGTGTCTTGTTATCGAACATAATCTTTAAATAATCGGAGACTAAGTATACAGTTGCGAGTGCAAGTCAGCTCTCAGCTGTCTGCATTCTGCAGAGTACATATGTATAGGTATAACTACTCTTGAACTTAGAAGCGTACCGTAACAGTTCATCAATTAGGGCACCATGAAACTTTTTTGTTTTTTTATATTAACTCACTAAAGTAACAGATAAAATGTAGAATATGGCTTACAACAGTCTCTACGATAATTTTATACCATATTTTAAAGAAAATAATGATTAATTTTTAGTCTCCCCATTTTGATACGGCACTAGGCGCTGGAGCCACCTTA